ACAATAATTCAACAGAAGACAAAATATCATAAGCGACCCAGAAACCCAAAAATAATATTTAGGAGATATTCCTGATGTACAACTTGAAATAACCTGATGTAAAGGGACACACACACACACACACACACACACACACACATATATTAAGGCTCAAGAAGGGAACAGGTGAACCATTCAGCAATATTAGGCAGCTAGTCTGAGCGTTGTTAGTCCTGGGCATCCGAAACAAACCTTGAATGTCATGATGGTTTCTGAGGTTCATGTGGAAAATGCAATTTTACCCAGTTCATTGACTGTGCTGCTTGTGAAGAGAGCATCTAGTGCTGAAGTTGCCAACCACAGCTCTCTTCATGTCAGCAGCCCTTTTGGAACAGTTTGTAAATCTGCTGATGCTGTTATTCCCTTTTGCCCACAACGGAGGTGAACCCAAACTGACTGAGAGTTTCCATATTTCAGGCATTTGTCAAAGGTTTATTTTAATTCACTGAGAACTAGAGGGAGATTGCACAGAGGTAAAGCTCTGTCAACTTGATGGAATGGCAGCTGACCAGTGCTACAATTCAGCCTACCAGAAATTTTGGACTACAAGCTTCATCAGCCTCCAACTCCTACATCCAGTGGTTAGGCTTGATCAGAGTTGTAGTCTAAAGCAGCTAGTGGGTACTAGGTTGGGGAAGGCCACTCAAATTATATGCTCCATTAATTGATCTTTGCTGACAAAGGGAAGCTTTTGGCTTAACCTGCCTATTTGGCGTGGCGCTGTGGGTTAAACCACAGAGCCTAGGGCTTGCCGATCAGAAGGTCGGCGGTTCGAATCGCCGCAACGGGGTGAGCTCCCGTTGCTTGGTCCCAGCTCCTGCCAACCTAGCAGTTCAAAAGCACGTCAGAGTGCAAGTAGATAAATAGGTAATGTTAGATAAATTGATTTATTGCTCAGATAAGCCTGAGGTCCGGCACGCTTCCCCATTGCGGGCCTCTGCATTCCAAAAACCGATACGTCTGAGCATAGCAGAGTTGAGATCAACAGCGGCTAGAGGAAGCTGCAAAACACTCCAGTGCATTCTTCAGTGTGCTTAAATAAAGTCCACACAGGATCTTAGCAGCTAAAAGCAGTTTTATTTACAGCAGACTATCCATTATCTATCACAGCGAACAGCATTGCGAAAACACGTCCTCTCTCCTCAAAAGCGAAAGTAGAGAGAAAGAACAAAGACTTGAGTCTCTCGGAAATGACATAGCATTTCCCCCCTCCTCTCCACAGTAGGCAGAGCGTACACTCTGAGCTGTTTAACCCTGTAAGCTCAGGTTCTCCTCACACCCCTCTCGCTCTGCGCTACTGTGGGGAAAGTAAGTACAGAACTTACCCCCAACTCCAAACCACCACAAAACTCCCCATGACGCTGGAAGCTTAAAGGTTTGGTAAATCCATCGGCCAGGTTACTGTGACTGGCACAGTACTTCAGTCGTATCAAACCTGACTGAACACTCTGACACACATTTCGGAAACGTATGTCCAGATGCTTGGTTCTCGCCTTAAATTGCGCAGATTCAGCCAACTTCAAACAAGGCTGATTGTCTTCCCAAACCATGATGGGCAAGCTACAATCCCCATAGATCTCTTGCACCAAGCATCTATAGAACTCTAGTTCTCAGCACAAGTCTGACAGTGCACTGAATTCAGCCTCAGTAGAAGACAGCGCAATGAGACTCTGCTTCCGGGACTTCCACCCAACTAGTGACTTCCCAAACTTTATCACCAACCCAGACACAGACTTGCGATCCTGCAAATTCACCCAGTCACTGTCCGCATAGCATGTGAGCTTTGCCTCACCTTCAGCTGGCAGCTTAAGACAGAAGTCTTTGGTATGCTGCAGGTAGCGCAGTACCCGCTTGATACCGTGCCAAGCACTCACACTGGGCTTTGACGCTTCCCTACTTAGCAGGTTGGTAGCAAAGGCAATGTCTGGTCTGCTCCATTGGGACAGATACAACAGACTACCTAGAGCTGACTGAAAGAGCTCAGCATTCTCAAACTCAGCACTTTCTGCTTGCTGGCTATCTTTCACGAAGTTCGTCTCCATGGGTGTCCGAACTCCTGCACAATCGGACATTCTGAACTTCTCAAGCAACTGCTCAATCTTGCCTTTCTGACTGAGCAAGAAGCTACCATCCTCAGTTCTCGCTATCTGGACGCCTAGGTAGATCTTTACTGCACCCAGGTCCTTGAGCTGAAACCGCTCCCCAAGCTCTTTGGCAAACTTCTGCACCTGTTTGTCTGCCTTTCCAACATGGATGATGTCATCAACGTAAAACAACACCAGTTCCTGTGAGTCTCCTGATCCTCTAAGGAACAGGCAACTGTCAGCAAGACTCTTCCTGAAACCTAGCTTCTCCAAAGCTTCATTCAGGCACAAGTTCCAATTCCTGGCCGACTGCTTCAGGCCGTAAATTGACTTGTGAAGTTTCCACACAGTACCTCGTTCATTGCCCTCAAACCCTGGAGGAGGAAGCATGTACAGATCCTCCTGGAGGTCTGAGTTCAAGTAAGCAACATCCACATCAAAGTGATGCACCAGCAAACCTCTTTGTGCAGCGATGGCCAAGACCAAGCGTAGAGACTCACTCCTACACGTGGGCGCATAAATCTCCGTATAATGCAATCCCCTCTGCTGCATGAATCCTCTCGCCACTAATCTGGCCTTATACTGCGGTTCTCCTGTCGCTGTGGGCTTAAGACGGTAAACCCAGTGGCTACCCACTGCCTTTTCACCCACCGGCAACTTCGTGAGGGAGAACACACCTAGAGACTCCATTGAGTTCATCTCCTTCTGCATCGCCTCATGCCATTTCCTGGCTTCTTCTTGAGGCAGTTTCTGAACATCCTCAAAACTCTCGGGTTCACACTGTGCCATTCCGACCCACACGCTAGTGACGGCAAACCTTTCAGGAGGTTTCCCTTGGTCGTCCGCGTTGAACGGCGCAGCACTACTTCAGGAACCCCTCTGACCCACTAGGGCCAGCCAGAACGTCCTTGGCATCAGAGAGCTCCCCTTTGACTTACTGCGCCTTCTGGACTTCTCAGCCGAACCTGTGGGGGAAGATGGAGCACTGCGTTGCTCACTCTTCACAGCCTTGGGAGAAGTTCTCCCCTCTGCCTGCACTGGGTCTGGACTCTGAGCCTTAGTAGCAGGTTGAACCTCTTCCTCTCCTTCATCAGCAGAGTCTAGCAGACTCTCTGACAGGATGTCAGGGTTTCCATGTATCCTTGCCCAGCCACTCTGCTCACAGAATTCAGCACTGTTGCTGAGCAGAATCCTGGACTGATCCCCTGACGGATACGCAAACCTCCACCCCTTGGTCCCTGGCTCATACCCACAAAAAATCATCTTTTGGGACTTGGGTTCACCTTTCTTGCGTTTGGCCTTTGGTATGGGG